GATTTTATTATATTCGCTAAGAATCTTAACGAAATAAAGAAGCTTAAGTTATTGGTTTCTAAATTCGTTGAAATTAAGGATCTAGGCGAAATCAGCTATTTTCTAGGTCTCAAGATCACTAGAGATAGACCTAATGGGTCTTTACAAATCTCTCAAAGCCACTATATTCAACAAATCCTAGAAAACAACAACTTTAAACACCTCAAAGGCTCAGATATCCCTATATCTCCCGGAATTCTAAAGCAAGACTTAGGGCAGAATAACCCTAACTATCAACCCTCTAAAGAGCTATTAAAACTATATCAACATCTAGTTGGCTCTTTGATTTACACTATTTATATGACTAGGGTTGATTTAGCCTTTAGTGTTTCCTTTATTAGCCGGTTTCTTCATAATCCTACTCAACCGCTATTAAAGGCAGTTATAGGTATAATTCAGTACCTTTCAACTACAAAAGACTTTAGTATTAACTATAAGTCTAAATCGAATATTCAACAGCCTGAATTAATAGGCTATACGGATTCCAGCTGGGCTAATTGCCCTACTACTAGGAAATCAACTAGCGGCTACTTATTTACTTTAAACGGTGGCCCTATTAGCTGGAAATCTAAGAAACAATCAACTATAGCCCTCTCTACAACTGAGGCTGAATTTAACGGCATTCAAGAGGCTATACGAGAGGCTATTTGGCTTCAAGGTCTCCTATCTGAACTAGGCTTTAACTATAAGCCGATACCAATCAAAACCGATAATAACGGAGCCCTAAACCTAGCCTATAACCCAGAATATCATAATCGAACAAAACACACGGCGATATACTATTATTATACTAGGCAAGAAGTAGAAAAAGGAAATATCTCTATATCCTATATTCCTTCTACTAGTATGCCGGCTGACGGGTTAACTAAGCCTCTATCTAGACCTAACTTTATTAAGTTTATTAAACTTATAGGTTTAGATCCTTCTTCTAGTATTAACTAGAATTACCCTTTTATCTTTTCTACTAAATAGTATAAAAGAGGGGGTGTTAGAAGTATAAGTATATTATACTTCTATTTTACTTATTTATCCTATTTAGTCTTATCTAAGACTTAGTAGGACTTACAAAAGTAACTAGCTAAGAATGGCTGCTTGCTAGTTTAAACATATGACATTCAGATCCCTATGGAATACTCTCTTTAACCTTATCTAAAAGTCTATTTAGTTAAAGAAGATTCTGGTCTGATTTATAAGCTGCTTTATAAGCTAGTTGACGTATATACTTACGTATACTAAACCTAGCTTATAGCTTCCTATATTAGCTATTATAGGCGACGTTATACTACTATATAACTAGCCTAATTCTCTCCCTTAGCTAGCTATTAGTTCCTCAACCAACTCAGCTTCAATATAAGCCTATACATTCTTTACTATTAAAGCCCTACTTCATAAGTACAAGTTCCCTTACTCTAATACCCTGTTATAAGGATATCGTACTATCTACGAGATTCCTACCTACCGTTCCAACATATAGTTCTAGCCTTTTCAACTATGATTCGATTTGCTCGTTCAGCTATACCGTTTTGTTCTGGCGTGTATGCAGTAGTAAGCTCTATAACTATCCCTTTAGGTTTAGTATAGGCTTCTAATTCGCTTATAGCGAATTCAGTACCATTATCAATTCGTAATGACTTAGGGTACTGGTTATACTGCGTATAATAATATTCTAGCTTATTTTGTACAAGAGATAAGATTTTATCCTTAGTAGGACTGAAATCTATATCTCTATAGCTAGTATAATCGTCAGTATATGGGATAGCGTAGATATTCCCAGCTATAGTAGAAGGCGTAATCTTAATCGTATCGATACATAGTCGATCGAGAGGTTTAGTAGCCCTGTTATAGTTAACTATAGACTGTTGTCTAGTTAACTTAGCTTTCTCACAGCTAGGGCACTGTAAATCGTCCTTTTTAAGCTGGTTGATAGGAATCCCCTTAGTTATCTTAGCTGTCTTATATAGGTAAGAGTAACTAGGATGTCCTAATTTGTTATGCCAATCCATAGTAGGATTAGTAGGGTTATTACCCTTAAGATTAGGGTTATTTTGACCCTTTAGACCCTTAGGGTTAGGGTTACCTTGTAATTCCTCAAAAGCCATATAGTTAGAGGCTTCAGAATCGGAAAGTTCATCGATTCTAGAGGATAAATCAACCTCGTTATAATTAGAGGTAGTAGACTTTTTAGTCTTATTAGTTGAGGAGGACTTATTCGTCTTCTTATTCCTCAAACTATGAATATCAGGTTCTAATTTCCCATATATAGATAGGAAAAATCCCCTTTTAGGGATATTTAAGGCAGCAAAGGCTTTGTGAGACGGGGTATATAAATAATTCCCGTTAATATAGCCTCCTGAGAGATAGTGCCTTAGACCTGAAATAATATTTATAGGGAAATCCGGTATATATAAGGCTTGTTCAAGCCTAATAGTTGACCTTTGACCTTTAAAGTAGAGCGGTAGGTCTATAGTACCTTGGCCCTTAGGTTTTATAGGTCCAGCGCCTGTTTTGACTTCTGGGAGGTTGTCTTTAGAAGTATAGGCTGTAAAGAATTCTCTACTGTTAGCTATGTGAACAGTAGAACCGGAATCATACAGCCACCAGTTCTTAGGACTAGAACTAGAACTAGGGCTATTAGGCCTCTTATTAAAGTAACTAGCATCAATCCCACTATAATATTCTAAATTATAGAAAGAGTAGGAGTTGCTAGGAGGCTGTTGGTTTTCTCTTTTATTATTGCCTTTAAAGGCATTAGGTCTATAGTTAGACCTCTTAGTCTTTTTAGACCGTTGTTGAGACTGTTGCCTATGGATATAGGAATTAGACATAGGGGTGTCCTCATCACGCCTATTTTCATCTAATATATCCGTAATAAGGGCTTCTAAAGTAGGTATCTCTTTAGAACGTAAGGCAGCCCTTTGCCTTTCAGCCCAAATAGGAAATGATTTTGATAAGGCAGCTATAAAGACCGTATTTTGGTCTATAGTCTCGATTTTTGCTCCTACAGAGGCTAATTTAGATAAATAAGCCTTAAAAGAGCTAATAAATAGATTTAAAGAGCTATAATCCTCGAATTTAATAGCGTGGAATTCGAGATATAGCTGTTGCCTTAGAACCGGCCCGGAACCTTCATAGGTATCCTTTAGTAACTTTAGGGCTTCTGCTGGGTCTTTATTATTAAAAACCAGGCTAAGAGGTTCTGGCTGTAAATTTTGCCTTATAACTAGTAAGGCTTGTGATTTTTGCTCTTCGGTTATAGCTGAATATTTCTCTTGATCCTCAAAGTATTGGGATAAATTCAGCAATTTAAAATAGATTTGAAGGGTAGTAATCCAGGTATTCCAGTTATCTATACCCTTTAATCGTTGATTTTCAGGCATTAAACAGCCTGTAACGGCTCTTATAGCAGTAGTAGTAGTCGTAGTAGTCGAAGACATATTGACTTTTAATAGGGTGCTTATTGCCCTTAAATATAGGGACTTATAGCCCTTGGGTACTTATTGCCCTTGAGATAGGGGACTTATAGCCCAAAAACTGCTTATAATATAGGGAATTTATCCCTTAATAGGCTGCTGAAGATACTAAGGAGCTATGCCTTGAGTAAATAACAGGTATTTTGCCTTGTTATTAAGTGCTAAGCCCTAGGATATGCCTTTATAATAGGGTATATAAGCACTAAAAGCAGCAAGTAATATCTTAGAATAATAGTTTCTAAGACGTAATCCCCTTAATAGTCTCGTATTTAGTAGTACTAAGGACTTACACTTCGTCTGCCTTAATAGTACTAGAATAGAGTTAAAGTTTTAGACTTTTCGTCTTAGGGGAATATAGCCGTTATAATAATAACCGTTATAATAATATACGGTTTAAAAGAATAATAAATATAAATTCCTAAAACTTATATCGTTTATAGGAATAAAATAGAGTTTAAGATATTTAATAACCGAAGAGTTGAGGATAAAAGAATAAGTAAAGTTATTACTCCGCTGGGCTCATAACCTGTTGGAACGGTAGGTAGGAATCTCGTAGATAGTACGATATCCTTATAACAGGGTATTAGAGTAAGGGAACTTGTACTTATGAAGTAGGGCTTTAATAGTAAAGAATGTATAGGCTTATATTGAAGCTGAGTTGGTTGAGGAACTAATAGCTAGCTAAGGGAGAGAATTAGGCTAGTTATATAGTAGTATAACGTCGCCTATAATAGCTAATATAGGAAGCTATAAGCTAGGTTTAGTATACGTAAGTATATACGTCAACTAGCTTATAAAGCAGCTTATAAATCAGACTAGAATCTTCTTTAACTAAATAGACTTTTAGATAAGGTTAAAGAGAGTATTCCATAGAGATCTGAATGTCATATGTTTAAACTAGCAAGCAGCCATTCTTAGCTAGTTACTTTTGTAAGTCCTACTAAGTCTTAGATAAGACTAAATAGGATAAATAAGTAAAATAGAAGTATAATATACTTATACTTCTAACACTAGACTATTTACTTTAGTAGCTATAAACGGCGAAACCTATACTATCGATATGCTACGTAGTCTAAAGACCTTCCGGTCTACTATAGTTAAACTATACTACGAAGATCCCTGTCACAGTTCTATTAGACACAACAGTAGGGATGCCACAGTTATGGGGCTGCCAGTGTGGCTGCCAGTGGGGCTGCCACACGTGGGGCGATACTGTCGCCCTAGACCGCCCTATAGGTATATTAGACCACCTGTTCGCTAGACCTAGGATAGACCTAACCTAATAGACAACAATGACTAGAACGACTTATTAACTGTGACAAGTGGTAGCACAACCTACTTTGCGATCCCTCGCGACCTCATAGTTAATTTTTCAGCATGGGCAAATAAGCTACTTTTTTCAATCCGTTGAGAAACACCAGACCGTGGCCAATCCGCCCGCACCAGGCTAATTCTGCTGCTAACGCTGCTGCTAACGCCGACGCCGCCAATATGCGCGCACCAGCTATACTATTCGCCTCCCCTCAAGACCCTACGCGAGACCATCACCCCTCGTACCGTCAACGCCGTTATCCCTCTACGCCTACGCCAGCGTGGGACCCAACGGTATGGCCGTCAATTGACGACCTCAAGGCTATCCAGACCCGCCAACAGCGCCCAGAGCCCTGCCGGAAGTGTAGCGCTAGATTCCCCAGCAAGAACGCTCTCTTCCGCCACGTCTATGCCAATAGCTGTGGAAGCCAGTTTCGCTGTCGCATCTGCTATAGCGATTTCACATCTCGCAACGCCCTATTCCGACACCTACAACAGGGCTGCCAGCCCTCAGCCTGTAGGGCTGGAATCCCACAGCAGGAGACTGCTAAGACTACTGCCGAGACTACTACCGAGACTACCGCCGAGACTACTGCCGAGACTACCGAGACTACTGCCGAGACTACCGAGACTACTGCCGAGACTACTGCCGAGACTACTGCCGAGACTGCCGAGACTACTGCCGAGACTACTGCCGAGACTACTGCCGAGACTGCCGAGACTACTGCCGAGACTGCGAGACTACTGCCGAGACTGCTGAGACTACTGCCGAGACTACTGCCGAGACTGCCGGCCAGACCATAGAAGTTATAGAACGGGCTTCTGCGCCGTTTCTACAGACCCTCTTCAACGCCGCTAAGCATGCCCATATCTATACCGAAATTAGCCTCTGTATGACTATGCTACAGTCCCAACGACAACAACAGCAACTGCTTTTCCTACCAGACCCAGAGAGAAGATTCGCAGCCATAACGAACATTCAGCAACGATACGGAGTATTCTGGCCCGACGCCGACAGCAAGTACGGCAGGGAGCCTATATTCTATGACCAACAGACACTATGCTACCGAGACGTAGATCTATGGCTCTTAGCAATTGGAAGGAAAATCGTTAATCCATACGCTCGAGACGAAGTCCTCCGAGAATGGCAGAGCCTACTCAGAGGTAAAGCACTCAGCTGGTGGGAATATCACCTTAGGCCCGTGGAAAGGAACCGGTATAGGGCCCTAGGATGGTACGGCCTACAGAAGGGACTAAGTGCCCGCTTTGGGCCAACCCAGCTAGTTAATTACAGCCAGCCAGCCAGCCAGCCAGACAGTTACGCCCAGCTAGTTAATTACAGCCAGCCAGCCAGCCAGCCAGACAGTTACGCCCAGCCAGACAGTTACGCCCAGCCAGACAGTTACGCCCAGCCAGTTAATTACAGCCAGCCTTAGGCATACCCCCCTATTACGCCTCGCACTAATAGAGGCCTAAGGAAGTCATGTTATTAAGCCGTTTAAAGTCATGTTTAGGCAGCCGAAACGATCGGGACGATCGTCTTTTTCGGGACGGGCACCTGTCACAGTTCTATTAGACACAACAGTAGGGATGCCACAGTTATGGGGCTGCCAGTGTGGCTGCCAGTGGGGCTGCCACACGTGGGGCGATACTGTCGCCCTAGACCGCCCTATAGGTATATTAGACCACCTGTTCGCTAGACCTAGGATAGACCTAACCTAATAGACAACAATGACTAGAACGACTTATTAACTGTGACAATCCCGATCAACTACTTAATTCTATCGCCGCGCTAGAAGAAGAAGAACCCGAAGCTAAGATACTATAGTAGGAAGTAGTACGTAACGAAATTATCGTCGCCGGCGGAGGTAGTAAACCAGACGAACCGCAAGAGGCACCGGAGCTACCGAGAAGACGCCTAGGCAGACCCCGGAAGAGACTACTACTAATCGCCTACTTTATAAAGGAATTTAATAATAACCTAGATTATTAATAAATATTCCTATCGATTAAGGAGTAAGTAGACGAAGAATTAGTAATTAAACTACGACGAGAAGGTATTATTACTATACTAAGCAAACCGTTTGAATAGTTAACTAAATAAGAGATTAATAGCCTTATCGCTAGAGGAGTATTTAAATTTACTTAGTTTAATAAAAGAAGGTATTAGAACGTACGAATCTTCCGATCTCGTATCGTTAACAAAGTCAAAAGTAAAATAACTAAACCTTATAAGAAATCGAGACTTATAATATAGGGTTATGCCGACGATAGTAAGAAGGCTATATTAACCTAATCGCTAACGATTTAGCAAGCAAGTTAACGGCTAATTCTATTAATTACCCTGTTACTCCTACGAGAAGGGAAATAACTATAGCTTCGAGATATTATATAAGCCTACGTTTAATCCTCTATAAGGCTTAATCGTACTATTCTCGCCTACCTACCGAAGCAAATTCAAGACCAGTACCCAAAAGGGACTATTATGGAGGTTGTGAAGCCTCTGTACGGAATCGCAGAAGCTAGAACCTACTAGTAGGCAACGTATTATAAGCATTATAGAGAGAATCTCTAGATAGTTACTTCTTCGTACGATCTATGACTTATTGATCTTATCTACCGAAAATCTATACTTTGGCTATATCGGTATATAAACCGACGATACCCTCGGTTTATTAGATAAGGCGTTCTTATAATTAGAAGACGAATAGTTAGAAAAAGCGGCTTTTATAGCAAAAGCGAAGAATATCCTTATAATTAACAAACCCTTCTAATTTAATAGAGGGATAGTCGCGCTATTAACCGATAATTCGATTAATTTAAGGCAAAAGGGATAAGCTAAGAAGTTACGATATATTAAGACTACTAAACCTAACCTAAAATAGTAATATATCGAACAACGCGCTAGAAAGGCGTATATCGCGTTAATTTGCTAACCCGAGGCCTGTTTCGATTTATCTACTACTACCTAATACTAAGACCCTTCGCTAGAAGCGATAAAAGTACTAAATTAACGGATTCGATAGTAAATAGAATCGCCTAACCGAGGAATAACGTTTATCCTACTCGACCTTATAATAGCTAAGCTATTTATTTTCGTTAATAAGTCGTTTGCTAATAACTACGACCTTTCCTCCTAATTAGGGTTTCTAATTATCCTAGCTAACAATACTTCCTCTAATAGTAATAATAGAGAATTTACGATTTACGATAACCTTGTTTATTATAGCTTTACGAAAAGTAAATAAGTTACTTATAGCGTATTAGCATTAGAGATCTACGGGATAGTCGCTAGCGTCGATATAGCCTACGCCTTCGCTATAACCCTAGCGATAATTACTAACTACCTTAACCTACTAACGATTTAGATAGTTATCTATACCGATTCTTATTCGCTATACGAGTATCTCGTAAAGCTAGGTACTACTAAAGAAAAGCGACTTATGATCGATATCATAGCGTTAAGACAATCGTACGAAAGACGAGAACTATAAGAAATTCGTTAGATTAACAGCGAAGACAACCTTACTAATACCTTTACGAAGAGCAAACCAAATCAAGCTTTCGAAAGATTCGTTAATAGCAATACGATAACGATACGTATAGAGGGATAGGTAATAAGACCGTAACTACGGGAGAAAGTAGGGATAGGAGGCCGAATTGACGAGGAGACGGAACTATATAGGGACAACGTATTCCAACCGCTTCAACACCATAAAAAGAGAGTTTCCAGTGTTGCGATAGTTGGAATACGGAGTCGTATAGCACTTCCAGCCACACGCCCGCCAGGCTGAGAGGCCCAAGCCTCCCAGACCCACGTGACAGGCCAAGGGGGAATATCCCCACCTTCTAGTTAACAACACCACTTTCAACTATCATGAACCATCGATTAGAACCAATTTACTGTTATTTGTTATTGACGAACGGAATTCCGTTTCACCCCCTGTGAAACCTACAGTATGAATCCCTTACAATACTAGCTAATTCACTAGACTAGCTGTTTGACAGATGGATCCTGTTGTATCACGTTGTTGCCTAGGAGGATCCGGCGATATCCCAATGACAAAGTGACAAGCTCTTTTTTTTTTTTTTTATATACGTGTAACATGATGTTCATATCAATACAACTGACCATAGTACAGTTCGCCGAGAATTCCTAAAGTATTGCCTTTGGGGCTACTATCGCATGATGCCTCGTTTATATAACAGGAGTGGCGTACAACCTTGTACTTGGAGCTTGGAGCGTTTGTCCATCTTCTTCCTGGCTAGCAAATCACAGTTTCTCGGCAGCACTAAATCGTATAAATAAAAAAGTTCAGCAGGAGCCATCGACGATAGATGCCGTGCCGGTAATTCCGTTAAAAGGTCCGTTGGTAATGGTGAGCTTGCAATTCTTGTCAAGGTTGTACAGGACGTTAGGGCCGCCGTTAGGCATGAGTATGCCTCCATCACCGTTTGCCGCCGAGCACGCGCCGCCGCCTGCACCGTTTGAATCCGTAATCGTAACCATGCAGTTGGTCTTAGCTGGTGCTGCCTGTGTAAGGGAAAAGCACGCAGCGGCGAGGAAAAGAGCGAAGCGGGCCATCCTAAGGAAAAGTATGTCAGAACTATCATTCATCCGACATAGTGTGGCTCTAATGTGAGGAGAATTAGACTCACTTGGGGAATGTAGGTAGTATGTTGGAGGAAATAAGAAAACGAAGGCAAAGGTTTCAAAACTCGGTGAACTTTATGCTATTGGTAACAAAGATACCAAAGTAATGAACAGTTCTCTCCAAGAGGTTGAAGACACTTTTAATATGAAAGTCAAACTGAACCACAGCCCATAAGCCGCTTAATCAGCTTGTCGGACTCTTGTTCTCAGACCTCAAACACCGCATATTGTAATTAGAGTTAAATTCCACCCTACCCTGGTTTGACTGGTTTGAATATATTAGCAACTTACTCAAACCCCGCTATTGAATTTAAAAGCATACTAAGCAGACGATCACTACCTTAACAATCAGATCTCGGTCTTCCACCTTCCCCGGACTAATCATAGAAGCACAGCCAGCTAAAGCTCACGTCGTAGCATCACAACTTGGCTTACTTCAAATTGTTACCACGTCCAGCACTATTGCTATTTCTGGCAGAGGAGTTACGTTCGATGCCGAAATTTAACAGCGGCAAAATGACTTTGAAGTGACATTAGATAGATGTTTCCGGCAGCCCACTACCAATGTCCTTAGGACATGAATAAGGTATGTTGGTATACCTAGGTTGTAAATATCATCAACAGAGCGTTTACGGACTATTGGTGTTTCGCAAAATGCTTCTAATACAGAACAGTTCAGATCTTCCTTCATAATAACCAAACATGAAACTGTTTTGCTGCGCTTCACAGAG